CACTAGAGTGGAAACCTGGAGCCTTCTCTTTCCTGAGAGGAATTTCGAACACAGCTCCACCAGACTCCAGCAGCACCACTGGGGCAGGAAAAGTGAACCCAGTTTGGGTATTCAGCACTGGGAGAAAGCTGGGGCCCCTGGTACTTCCCTCTAGCTCAGATACCAGTGCTCTGCACCTCAGGGAGCTGAGCCACAATTTTCTCCTGAGTTTCTTTTACTTTCTGACTGCCAGCAGAGAAAACCTATGATCTATGCTTTGTGCAGCCAGATAACCATTTTTAGACTCCTAACTTTCTTCAGACGCTGTGCGTAGGGAGCATTTAACTCACAGCTAAAGGCAGCAGAGCATTTTAAGCATGACAATGTCAATGCTGTTTCCTTTTCTGTTCAATTCATACAAAATTTGTCCCAAAATATTCTGAAAAAGAGAGGGATCAGAACCCAGGAGATTTAACTTTCATTGCCTTCCTCCAGCTTTTGGTCAAATCTCTATCAATCACCTTTAAAATCAATAATCAAGTTATTTTCTCTTTTGTGTGAGGGGAAAAAAAAAAAAATCTACTTGTTATAATCCAAGGCTGATTTTGTTACTTATTGGTGATAGCTATCATTGATCATCTGTAGCAGTTACAGGTTAATCTTCAGTCAGGTAAAGGAAACTTTGAGAAATTAATTTTGAGAATGGTACTGACAGCAGCTATGCACAAATTTATTAATGACGGAACACATGTTGCAGATGATATAAAGGGTGGATCACACACTGTAATTCTATTTTTTTTTCACAGGTTTTAAATTCAAGATGACAAGCCCATAGTCTATCAATGTAGTAGATAAAAATGTAATGCATAAGGAGCAAGAATGCTCTTCTGCAATGTTATATATTTAAAAGTATGACTTTCATGCTGGATCAAAGCCTTGTAGTCTCATTTAATCATAGACTATGTTGGAAATACAGATTATTATCTAACTGTGATTATTTTTGTGGAAATTCTTGTCTGCATGTCTGCAACTAAAACTCTAAAGCAAAAATAATCTCAATTCTATCTTGGCATATTTTTTGATGTTATTGATATTATTTTAAAAGCCTAATAATATACCTGTATTTTTCATGGGACAGACACCAGAACTAAGAGCAGATAACATACTTTATGCATTTTTTTCAAGGTATCTCCTTCCCTTTCTTCCCATTTTCTCAACGTTGTCTAGTTTCCTGTCTTGGACCTCTTTTATGTTTTGGGTGGGTTTGTTTTCCTCTGTCACAGGTGTTCTCAATGGGCATATGTGGATCTTGTTGAATATAACCTAATGAGGGATGGTTAAAACACCGTTTTTTCTCTTGGGACAAAAAAAGACTTTCACTGAAATAAATTGTTTAGAGGAAGTGATTTATTCTGTTTGAAATTACCCATGAGAATATATGTTTGAAAAAGAAACAAGTTAATATTTCCTATAGGAAGTGCATCTTGAGGAAACCTACAAATAGGTAGGCATACTTTAATCTCATCATTTATTAATGCATAAATATCATATTAATTTTCCCTATACAATTGAATAACAAATTCTGAATAGGAAGTAATTCTGAATTCAGAATGGTTATTAATGATAATGGAATTTGCTGACAAGCACCTTAAATTACAGTGTCACTCACATAATAGTGTAAACCTGTTTTATTATTTAAGGACTTGAATAAGTTAAGTTTTTGATCTCATGAACATTCTCAGTCACTAGCACATGATTTCACACAGTGGTAGTGATGAGTGATAATTAAGACTTAAAAGAGAAAAGAAGCTAATTCTTTTCTAACCTCTGCAAAGGAACTGTAGGTGTTACAGCTCCCCTTGCCATAAAGCGTCATGATATTTCTGGAATTTCTGAATGGGAGTTCATCATGTGAGATCTGAGAGCAATGAGTTATAAATTTCAGCTTCTGTTAATTGGTCCTAATTACTTGAACATTCCAGCAAGTCCCTGAGTCTCACTGGAAGCAAAACTGTTGCAAAACACTGACCCACTTGGTCAATTCAGACCTTACACATGTGTACCTTATAGTGTATAAAGCATTCTGTTTTTATTCTGCAGTACAGGAGAAGATTTTCCAAGTTCCTCATCAAATTTTAGAATTGGAAATTAAATTGGATTTGATTTGATGAGAATTGATTTTTTCATTCCCCTATGGCCATTGAAGAAGCCTTGAGGTTGTCACTGTGCTGGGCAATGCAAAGGTTCAGTCACCCAAGAGGTTCATGACAGAGGGACAAAAGTTGAATACCACTTCCTTTCCTGTCCCAAACCTAATCAAAATGACTGTTCTTTCTACACTCAATCTCATCTGAAATCAGTAAATTAACAGAATACCAAAGATTACTGCCTGACAGAAACTCTTCATAAGACCATTTGCTTCATCAGTAACATTTTTCTCATCCTTTAGAAAATTCAACTAAGACATTTCCAGTAAAAAGGTTAGTCAGATTACTTAGCGTGTGCCTAAATTTCCTCTGACAAAGTGTCA